GAGAGAGAAACATCGACGTGAAAGGTACACATCGAGTGGCTGCCACCTGCACGACCAACAAGGGCCAGGGACAAACTGCAACTGAGGTATGCGCCCTTAGCGGGAACCGAACCCGGGTCTCTCTGGACCGCAAGCCGATGCTCTAACCACTGAGCCAAACAGGCCAGGGCACTATTTCCCTCTTTTTAATGAGACTATGTTAATATCCTGTTTGTCCTCAACGTTTTTCTCACTGAGTTGGTTTAGCTCATGGATTTTACCTGCAACATTCACTACTGTGGTGTTTGCCTGATGGTGATTCTATTTCCCTCATTCCTTTGTATTTATTAATTAAAATTCATTTATAAGGAATAGCTGTCCTTATTTATTTATTTAATATCAGTATGGACTTGTGGCACTTATTGTATTTCATGAGTAATAACCCAATATTATTATTATTATTTTATTGATCAGATATTCTAGCTATTAGGAGCTCCTTCCAGCTGGCTCCTGTGAACTTTTGACATCCTCCTACTTTTTTTGAGCACTTTCTTATTTTCTGACATCATTAGATGTTCTAGGCTCATTTATATTTTCCCTGCCCCAGATCTGGAATTCAGCTCTCTTCAAGGAGCCCTGGGTCCTTTTATTTGAGAATGGTATTTAGAAATCAAGATCTAGACACTAGATGTCTTCATTGCTACTCTTGTGTATGTCACGGATCTTAGACCCCCTTAATGGACAGAGCTAGGAAATAAGTGTATGTATCCTAATCTATGCATACACATAAGTCTATTTCTGTAACAGTCTTTATATATGTTATAAACTATGTACTGATATATATATACTAATATTTGGTAGCTTTCCTTAAACCTAGGTTCTTATATAATAGCTTCTTTCCTTACCCATCTTGTTAATCAGCTTTTAATTTTTTTCATTATCATATGAATGTGGGTTTTGGCTTTATCTCTGCTTTATATTATAAGACTTCTGAAATCCTATTGGAATTTAAGTGAAAAAGAAAAAATTAAAATAGATGAATATACAAAGTGTCTTTTTTTATTTTTGCTTAATTTGGCTCGTATTGCTATTAAGCATTGAATATTTATTTTCATAATTTTAATAGAGGAGAAATGAATCTAGAAATTTTGATAAAGAAAAAGGTCTTAACCAACTTGTGGAACTGCGACACTATTGTGAGTTATCAAAGTTTTGTATCTTGAATATAGTTTTCCAAGATATTGAGCTAAATTTTTCTTTACCTCATTTATTATCATTGTATTGGTAATAGAAATTTTGCTATGCCAAATTCTGTATGATTATCACTCCACTGAGATATTTAAAAACATTTCTAGTTAGAACAGTATTCCTAGGTGATAAAATAAAAGTGTGATATAAACATACAGCTTTTGTAGCTAAAAAAAACAACCACTCATAACTGGTTAATTGTTAAGTCTCTTTCATTTAGATTGTTCAATATTTAATTTTTCCAACATACTCTTTTTAAGGAAATTGACTAATTTGGATGAAATTTAGTATGTGCCTAAATGCATATTAAGATATCTCAATTGAAACAAAATGTCAGCCTACCTATTTTTATGAGTATATCTTACATAGTTTAGAGGGGATTTTGTAAAAATTATCATGTTGGTAGAGATTGATAGATGTATGTAATTATCAGGGATTTTGTGAGCTGCATACCCTAGAAGTAATGAACATTTATAAAAAATGAATTTTTTTTTTTATCCTCACCCGAGGACATTTTTCGATATTTTGTTCAGATAGAGTGGGAGGGAGAGAGAGGAAGAGAGAGAGAGAAACATCGACGTGAAAGGGACACATTGGGTTGCCGCCACCCGCACGACCTGACCAGGGCCGGGGACAAACTGCAGCCGAAGTACATGGCCTTAGCGGGAACCGAACCCGGGTCTCTGTAGACCGCAGGCCAACCCTCTAACCGCTGAGCCAAACCGGCCAGGGCAAAATGAATGTTTCTTAACATATCAAGTGTCTTGAATAAAATGAGCTAATGTACTTTGAAAAGTAAAGAATATTTATGTGAGTCTTTATGATTTTTATTACCGAGAACAGAAGTGGAATGCGTAAAAGTGACATAGGAAGTCTGCTGGGGAAGCTGGACAGAGGGTGGGCCATAGTGGGAGGGACAGCGTTCTGATTTTTGAGCAGGGCTATCCCTGGCCTGCCTTACACAAGCATCCATGATGAGCTACGTGGACACTGCTCTGCCAGGGCCTTCTGAGCACTTGTGCAGGATGTGGTGAGATGTAGCATCTAGGATAAGAAATGCTCAGGTCCCCAAATCACAGCCCTGGAAGGGGCAATAGGGATCTACTGTTTCTCCTAGTGTGCCAGCTCTCTCCTTTCTTCAACTTCTCCCCTTACCAGTCTAGACCACATGGTGCATCACTCCCATCTTTTCTTTTTTATCCTTGCCCAGCATCCTCTCTAGTCAAATCCCAGTCCTGTGCAGACTGGGAAGCAGAGGGGAGGGGGATGTCTGCTGGGACCCTGTCCTCTGCCTGATTATCCTTCAGCAGCTGTCTAGTCAGCTTCCTCTCCTATCCCCCATGAGCTCCAGGCACCCTAATCCTTGCCTCTTTTTTAATGGAGAAAATGGAAGGGGTGGAGCAGAAATCCCCTCCAAGTTCTGATTCCTCTCCCCACAGCCAACAAACTTGCCTGGGATCCATTCCTCTTCTGGTGTCTTCCTCTGTAAGGCTAACACCTCTGCTTGTTTCCACATCTGACCCTCTTTCCCTGTGCTCAGACACCTGCCTTCATGGCTCATCCCTCTCTTGCCCGTATGTTTAGCCTCTGTGCCTGTCACTCTCAGCACATTCTCCTACAGTTTAAAAAAATCACTTCTTTTAGCCTCCCATCCCTCTTTCACTGCCATCCTTCTTCTCTCCTTCCCTTAATAACCCAGCTCTTTGAATGTCAGTTATGTTCACTATCTAAACATCTGACTTCCTGTTTTATCTCTGGGTATTTTTGAATACACTGTTCTTTCTGCCTTGGACGCCCTTCCACGCATCTTTACCTAGTCAACACGTCCTCATCTTTTAATTCTCAACATAGACATTTGCTTCTCTGAAAAGACCTGCCAAACTGGGTTAGATCTTGCTCTTCTGTGTATACTTAGCCTCCTGTTCTTACCTGTGCCATAATAGTCATAATAGTAATATTAATAGGTAATTGAGCACTGTTGGACCAATCATCATGTAGTAGTAGTATTGTGTTAGCATGACCATAATAACTATAGCACCTTACTTTGTCCTCAAGAGACTTTTTATCCCAATCATATACACGAGGAAAGTGAAGTACAGAGAAGTTAAGTAACTTCACCAAAGTCACAGAGCTAATGTGTGACAGAACTTTAGTATTTAAACCCAACCTTGTTCCCCTAGAGCCTGCACTGTTTACCTCAGTGCTATAGGCCAATCAGTGGATCTCACACTTGATTGCGCATCAGACTTTCTGTTTTCTTTTTGTGTATTTTTGAATACACTGTTCTTTCTTCCCTGTATGCTGTTCCATGCATCTTTACCTGGTGAACAGGTCCTCATCTTTTTTTTTATCCTCACCTGAGGATATTTTTCTATTTATTTTCAGATAGAGTGGGTGGGAGGGAGAGAAAGGGAGAGAGAGGAGAGAGAGAAACATGGAAGTGAGAGGGACACATCAACTAGTTGCCTCCTGCATGCCTCCTACTGGGGATTGAGCCTGCAACCTGGGCATGTGGCCTGACTGGGGATCTAACCAGGACCTCACAGTCCATGGGACCATGCTCAATCCACTGAGCCACACCACTCTGGTGCCAGCAAGAGAGTATTGGTGCTGCTGGTCCATGGTCCACACTTTGAGAACCACTACTCTAGGCTGCTCTGCACTTTCTCTTTTGAAAGCATCTCTCGTCTCTCTTTCCAGCTGAAATGGAAATTCCTTAGGACAGTAGCTATTTGGTTTATTTTTTCTTAATGTTCTTATTTCCAGCACCTGGCTGAAAGTAGTTCTGACAGATGGTAGGCCCTCAAAAAAATGTTTATTGGAACATGGAAGTAGGATACAGACTAACAACCCTCAGAAGAGAGGGTGGTGGGTGTGGGAAGAGGTAAACCACAGGACTTATATGCCTGTATGCATAACCAATGGACATGGACAACAAAGTCGGGGACGGGGCGGGGGGCGATGGGGAGGAGGGTGCCAATGGGGTAAAAAAGGAGAAACATCTGTAACAAAAATAAAACAAAATTATAATTTTAAAAATTAAAAAAAAATGTTTATTGGAATGAGTGGATGAGCAAATGGTTCTGGCCTATTATTTAAGTGTATTCTTTGCCTGAATTAAATTTCTGTGTATTCAAGAATTCTTAGGTTCTGTCAGTCACATACCTGACTGGGGATGTATACTCAAAGAATTTATGGCATTAGTTGTTGATTGAATGATTTTAAAACCATTTGAAGCCAAAAGTCCCATCTGATGTAGCTGGCTCACTGTTCTTTCCAGACTGCAGTGCTCACTGCCTATTAGTCCAGGTCGTTATCATATGTAAAGAGGTGCTTTGGCTTTTCAGCAGATTTGGAAATACCTTTCCTATAATAGTACCTTCCTTGAGGTAAAATGACTCCATCATAAATGTGATAGGTTATAGGAATTGTGATACATTTACTTTGCAGAATTAAGCTTCTTAAAATGCCTGTATGACATGCAGCAATTGCATAGGAAGTTGGGATCCCTTATTTCAGCCAGCTGGGCTCTATGTCACCAACAACCAGGCATCAAGTGGGAAACAAGACATTTCTGACTGCTTGAGAACTTTCTTTGTTCCTAGCAGTCAATATTTTGCTTATTGGTATTTTTTCATGTTACTTTATTTTGAAATATGAACTACTAAAATATTTATTTATTATAATAGACTTTGCAAGACCTTATTGAAACCACAAATAAGCAGGTTACTCAGCTTTGTGGAATCATTTCAAAAATGCAACATACTGAGGAGGAAGAAGCCTTGCTAAACAGGGTAAGTGTTATAAAAACCTTTCTACTACTTTGATAAACCTTTAGTTTCTAGAGATCCCAGTCAGTTAGGTGTGAAAGAGAACTAATAACTGTGAAATTAGCAAGTTTGCTCTATACTTACTTTAGCAGCATATGGGAGACTAAACCTCTGTTGAAAGAATGGTGAAGTTTAGTTTTCAGAAATTATCATACTGAATACATTTATTTATTTATTTATTTATTTATTTATTTATTTATTATCCTCAACCGAAGGACATTTTTGCATTTATCTTCAGATAGAGCAGGAGGGAGAGAGGGAGGAAGAGAGAGAGAAACATCGATGAAAGAGACACATCGACTGGTTGCTATCCACAAGACCCCAACCAGGGCCGGGGACAAACTGTAACCGAGGTACACACTCTTAGCAGGAACTGAACCCGGGTCTCTCTGGACTGCGGGCTGATGCTCTAACCGCTGAGCAAAACCTGCCAGAGCCATACTGAACACTTTTATGTTTCTAATCGTAATGTATACAACAATTAAAATGTAGGGTCGAATAGAAATAAAATCCATATAATAAACATTCAGCATTCAAGGAAAATAGATATTAATGCTTTTACCAACTTATTTATTCTTATTTTTACTCACATCTGGATTTATACAAAAAAAATTTTGAATGTATACCTCATGGAGAAAATTCAAGTCCAGGAACCAAAGAAAAGAGCTTAACTCATTCTGTTCTCTTACCCTGGACAGAGAGATTGTAGCCTATCTTTACCAGTGGAAATGCAGGAAAGCCATGCCAGGGCTAACCCTGTAGGAACATCCCTTCAGTGAGTAGCACTCTCTGATCTGTAGTAACTGGTTCTCAGGGTAGAGTCTACCACTTCCCAAAATTGTCTTTTCATATTCATTACAGCAGCATTACACAGCAGACATCCCATTTCCTGGTTTTACTCTCTTACTCTGCTTTTGTAGCAAAGGTGCTGAAAGTACCAACAGTGTTATCTCACCTTCCCAGGCTTCTCCAGTAGTACCTGCAGCAGGAGAACCCAGTCTGGCAAACACCCGTGAGATGATGGGAAATCATAGCATGGGCCCAGACACTGCCTCTTTATCTGTCTGCATCCCTCCTAATATTGGTGAGTTTGAAATGGCACATATTATAAATAGCATCCTTCAATCTAGATTTAAAAAGCACTCTTAATGCAGGCTAGTGATAGCTCTTTTATTCACTTAAAAGTTTTATATTGAGATAATTTTAGATTCACATGTAGTTGTAAGAAATAATACAGAGTGACACCCTTTACCCAATTTTCTTCAATGGTAACATCTTATAAAACTACACTAAAATATTACAACCAAGATATTGATGTTGATATAATGCATGGATCTTATTCAGTTTGACTTGTATTCATTTGTGTTTCTCTCATCTGCCCAGGCTTCTCCTACGCACTTTTTTTTTTTTTTTTAAACTCATCTTTATTGTTGAATGTATTACAGATGTTTCTCCCTTTTTTCCCCATTGACCCCCCTCCTCCCCATTCCCGCCCCCTCCTGCCTTCCCTACGCTATTGTCGGTGTCCATTGTTTATGCATATATGGACAGGCTAGTTCTTTGGTTTATCTCATCCCACCCTCCCTCTTCCCTTTGAGGTTCATCAGTCTAACAACCGATGTGTATTTCTTAATTTCTTCATTGTTTTCACCCATCCCCCAGCCCCAACCCATCTGACAAGCAACAAAAAGTTCTCTGTATTTATGAGTCTGTTTCTGTTCTGTTTGCTCATTTTGTTTGTAGATTCAATTGTTGATAGATATGTATTAATTGCCATTTTATTGTTCAACTTTTTTTTCTTCTTCGCCTTCAAGAAGACCCTTCAACATTTCATAATAATAATGGTTTGGTAGTGATGAATTTCTTTAGCTTTTTCTTGTCTGGGAAACTCTTGATATGACCATCCTATGCACTTTTATCATGTGAAAAGCTTTGTATGTCTACCACCATAGTGAAGGCACCAAACATTTCATCACCACAAGGATCACTTGTGTTACCCCTTTATAACCGTACCCGTCACCTTGCCCTTCTCATTCTCCAAGCCCTAATTCATGGCAACCACTGATCTATTCTAGATCTCTAGAACTTTGTCCCTTCAAAATTGTTTTACAGGGGTGGGCAAAAGTAGGCTAACAGTTGTGAGTATGTGAAACAGAGTTTATGTTTGTATTATTATTTATTAATTATTGTGTTCTTTTCCATATGAATAACTATAAGCCTACTTTTGCTCTCCTCTGTATAGTTGGATGTATAATATAGTATGTAACCTTTTGATACTGGCTTTTTTTTCACTCAGTTTAAGTCCTTGGAGATTAAACCAAGTTGTGTGTATCACTGGTTCCTTCCTTTTTATTGCTGAGTGGTCCACTTTATCTATATACATATTTCTGCTTTTTTGGTTGTTCTTTCTTTCTTCTATTACTTTTTGATTCTTTCTTTCATCATATTCTTACTGATAGAAGATTTCCTTTAACTTTTTTAAAAAGTAAGTCTTCTGGGGACAAAATCTGTTAGTTTTCCTTTGTGTGAGAATATCTTTATTTCCCCTTCTTTATTGAAGGATAATCTCACCCAATATAGAATTTGTGGATGAGAATTCTTGTACTACAGCCTTTGAAAATGATTTTATTTATAAAAATGCCAGGAAAAGCAGAAACCAGCCTTAAAAGTAACACTGAGTCAGTGTATTATACAACTTTATTGGAAAATGACAGTGGCCAAAATACTGCCTCTTCACCTTCCCAATTTTGATGAGTTTGCAATGATATACAATGATATTACAAGTGGCACTGTTTAATCTAGATTTACCAAAATCCTTAATGTAAGTCAGTGGTAGGTCTTTTTAAATTAAATTTTAAAGTTTTAGATAATTTTAAATTCATGTCTAGTTATAAAAATTACACAGAGATCCCATTTATGCTTTACCATTTCTTCCATTGATAGTATGTTACAAAACTACAGTAAAATATCACAACCAGAACACTGATATTGATTAAATACACATTTGTGTATGTATGTGTGTATTTAGTTTTATGCAGTTTTATTCCATGAGTCAGTGTATCTGTCCACCACAGTCATGACACAGAACACTTCCACAAGGACCCTTCATATTTTCCTTTCATAACCACAACCACCTCCCTCTAGTCACCCTTCCCTTCACCCCTGCCTTATCTAAACCCCTGGCAAGTGTGAATGGAACTCCCTTTCTATAATTTTGTCACTTGAATATTGTTATTTAAATGGAATAAAATACTATATAACCTTTTGGGCATGGCTTTTTTTTTTTTAACTAAACATAATTGCTTGGAGATTCATACCAAATGTTGCATGTATCAATAGTTTCTTCCTTTTTATTATTGAGTACTATTCTATGATGTAGATGTATAGCTGTTTGTTTTATCTGTTCACTCATTGAAGGACATCTGAGATATTTCCAGCTTTTGGCTATTACAAGTTAAGTTCTATGAACAGTCATGTACTGTTTTCTGTGTGTAAGCATTAAGTTTATATTTCTTTGAGATAAATGCCTAAAAGGGCAGTTTGGGGTCATATGGTAATTTTATGTTTAGGTTAATCTTATAAGAAACTGCTAATTTTTTTTTTAAGAGGAGTTGTACCATTTTACCTTCCACTCGTAATATAGAGGATACAATTTCTCTGCATGCATATTTCTTCTCTGTCCATTGTTCTTTCTTTCTTCTTGATCCATTCTTTCAGTATACCCTTTCCTTTTGAAGATTGTCCTTTAACTTTTCTTTAAAGGTAAGCCTGCATGGACAAGTTCTTTTAGTTTTCCTTCCTATGAATTGTCTTTACTTCCCATACATTAATGAAGGATAGTTGTACTACATATAGAATTAATGGGTGAGAGTTCTTTTCTTAAGCAGTTGAAAAATGTTCTTCCTGTAGAGATGGGAAAAATAGCAGAAAACAGCCAGAAAAACAACCCCAAGGCAATGAACTGCCCAACTATATCAAGAAATAACAGTGGCCAATGTTCTTCCCCTTCATTTATCTGCCTCCCACCTGGTGAGTTTCAAATGATAAATATTACAAGTAGCACTGTTTAATCTGGATGCATCCTTAATTTAAGTTAGTGGTAGTTCATTTTTTAAATTAAACATTTATTTTTGAAATAAGATAGAATTCATATGTATTTGTAAGAAATTTATAAAGAGACTCTTGTATACTTCTCCCAATGATAACATCTATAGTAAAATATTACAACCAGGGTATTGACATTGATACAATGCACACATGTTCAAGCATGTTATATAAAGGGAATCTTAGAGTACATAAACTTTGAAGATTCTTTTTTTTTCACTCAGCACCATTCTCTGAAGTTTCATCCAGATTGTTGCATGTTTCAGTACATCCTTCCTTTTATTGATTAATAATTTTCCATATCTTCACTGCAATAGTGGTTTTCAATGATTCACCCACTGAAGGACATTACTTTATTCCACTCCAGATTTTAGTATTAGAAGTAGAGCTTCTGTGAACATCCATGTACTAGTTTTTGTATAAATATAAGTTTTAATTTCTCTGTCTTGAATCCCAGGATTGCAATTGATGAATCTTACGATAATAGCATGCTAGTTTTTTATAAGAGACTGCTAAACAGTTTTCCAGAGAGACTGTGTAATTTTTCATTCTAACCAGAAATGTATGAGTAATCTAGTTTCTCCAAATCCATATTTCTGTTCTTCCCATTGTTCTTTCTTCCTTCCCGATGTTCCAGATTCCCTTCTTTCATCAAATCCTTTCTGTTTGAAGTTTTTGTTTAGCCTTTCTGTATAGGTAAGTCAGCTGAGGACAGAGTCAGTTTTCCTTTGTTTCAATTTGTCTTTAATTCACCCATTACCTTGGAGGATAGTTTGGCTTCACATAGAATTCATGGTTGAGAGTTCTTTTCTTTCAGAAGGTGAACACTACATATTCATTGAAGTGCCAGAAAATGAGGAAACCAAATTGGAAATTTACCCAGGTTCATTGGGAAATGACAGTGACCTTGGTACTCCCTCTTCAACTTTCACAATCCAGCCTCCATTTGGTGAGTTGCATATTACAAATAATGCATATTACAAATAGCGCTGCTTGATTTAGATCCATCAATACAATTAATGTGAGCCAGTGTTAGCTGTTGTTAAATTCAACTTTCAATTTTCTGGTAATGCAGGTTGCACATGAAGTTGTGAGAAGTAATCAGAAACCATTTATGCTTTACTTCTTTCATGGAACAACACCTTACAAAACTATAATAGAATATCACAACCGAGATATTTATATTGATACAATCCACAGATTTCACTGAGATTTCTCCAGTTTAATTGTAGTGATTTGTGTGTATGTGTTTAGTTCTATTAGATTTTGTCACATGAGGAGGTTTGATTTCCACCAGCACGGTCAAGATAGAACATTTCCATCCCCATACGGATGTTTCACTTTGCCCTTTTAAAACTACACCCACCTCAGAATAAATCCCTGGATATTCATCTGACTTGTGGCATTAATCAGAGTTCCTTCTTTTATATTATAGAGAACTGTTCCATGGTATGGATGTACCACTGTTTGTGTATCTGTTGACTGTTGAAGAACATTTGGATTTTTTCCAGTGTTCAGTATTATAAGTAAAATTGTGATGACAGTTCATGAAAGGTTTTTATGTAAATATAAGTTTTGATTTCTCTTAGGTAAATACCTAAAGATACAGATGCTTGGTTGTATGGTAATAGCATGTTTAGTGTTACAAGAAACTGCAAACATTATCCAGAGGGGCTGTACCTATTTACTTTCCTTCCAGCGATATATGAGTGAGCCAGTTTCTAGACCTCCATGTCCTGCTGCTTTCCTTGTTCTTTTCTCCTCTTTGATGCCCCAAGATTTTTTCTTTCATTATTCTTTTCTGATAGGAGATACTCTTCTAGACATTTTCAGGTGTAAACTGCCTCATAAGATAAAATTTTATCTCTTCTTCATGAGAGAAAGTCTTTATTTTGCCTTTACTGTTTTTTTTTTTAAGAGTATGAGCACCATTTATTTTTAGCTTTATTGATGTATAATTGAAAAATAAAATTGTTATATATTTGAAGTGTACAATGTGATGACTTGATATGCACATACATTATGAAGGGGTTCTCACCATTGAGTTAATTGACACATCCATCATTACCCCTGTTTACCTTTTTATGTTTTTTGGTGAGAACGCTGAAGTTGTATCCTATGAAAATTTCAGTTATATAGTGCTATATCAACTATAGTCACCATGCTATACATGTTAGTTTACTTTTTAACTGTAGTTTATACCCTTTTACCAGCCTGTCTCTATTTTTCTCACTTAATAGTCCTGTGGCAGCCTCCATTCTACACTGTGCTTCTCTGAGTTTGACTTTTTATGTTTTGATACCACATATGTGATACTATAGAGTATTTGTCTTTCTCTGGATTGCTTATTTCACTTAGCATAACTCCCTCTAGGACCATCCATGATGTCACAAATCTACTTGGTCTTTGAAGGATAGTTTTGCATGGTATGGAATTCATGGTTGAGATTTTATGTCTTTCCATGTTTGAAATATATTATTTATAGAAATGTTGGTAGGAGATCAAACCACCTTGGCAAAGACTCTGAGAAAACAAATGATCCACTATTCTTGGAAAACAAAAGTAGCCAAAACATAGCCTCAGTATGTTGCTGTCTTTGCCCCATTTTTGTTGGTTTTAAATGATATTTTTGACAGGTAGCATACTTAATATAGACTTATCAACATCCCTAGTTAAAAGGTAATGGTATTTTTTTCTAAGTAAAGTTTTTATTTTCAACTATATTTTGCTGCATCTGCAGTTTTAATAAATAATACAGAAAAATTCTGTGTTCCCACTCTGCAAATTTCTCCAATGGTAAGAACTTGAAAAATGGTAGAAAATTTTCACCACTAAGATAAATGTCATGACACCATCCAGGTTATATTGAAATGTCCCTAATTTCACTTGTGGTAATGTGTGTGTTTATTTCTATACAATTTTATCACATGTTCTCTAACACAGGCAAGCCCCCAAACAGTTTCATCACCACCATGACCCCTCATATTGCTCTTGTATATGCCTACTCACCTTTCACTGTGTGACAATCCTCTATACACTCCAAACCCCTGCCCGGTCTCTTGCTGTTGGTAACAACAAATCTGGTCTCCAGATCTAGAATTTGTCTCTTAAGCATTGTTACATAAATGGAATCCTGTGGTAGTTGAGATTAGCTTCTTCCATCTGTCTAATTCCCTGGAGACTCACTCATGTTTTTTTTGTATATCACTTGTTCCTTTTGTTTACTGCAGAATAGTATTCCATGGTATGGATGTTCCATCATTCATTTATTTCTTCACCTGTTCAAAACCTCTTGATTTCTTGTTTTGGGCTCTTAGGGGTAAATCTGCTACAAATATTTGTTAATAGTTTTTAACTTTACTTCACACATTCTTTCACACAGGTTTTATTTCTTTGGGATGAATGCCTAAGCATGCAATTTCTGCTCCTTTGGTGATTGAGTCAGTGTTTTTTTTTCCTTTCTGATTTGAGAAAAAGAAAATGAGAGAGAGAGAGGGAGAGGGAGGGAGGGGGAGAGAGAGAAAGATGAGAGAGAAACATAGACCTGTTGCCTCCCACATGCATCCCTACTGTGAATCGAATACACAGTGTGGACATATACCCTGACTAGAATCAAGCCCATACCCCTTTCTTGCATGGGAGGACACTCCAACCAACCAAGCCACACCAGCCAGGGTACATTCATAGTTTTTTATCTGAAACTGACAAACTCTTCTCCAGTGTGTCGGTACCACAGCATATGAGTGCATCAGTTTCTCTGTGTCCATATTACTGCTATTTCCTTTGTTCTTTGGCCTTCCTGATGCTCCAGAATTTTTTCTATTATATCTTTTCTGTTTGAATATTTTCCTTTAGCCATATTTCAGCAAGATTCAGTTGGTGATAAATACTTGCACTTTTCTTTTATGTATAAATATCTTTATTTTGGCTTCATTACTGGAGGTAGTGACATGGGTTATAGAATATGAGGTTGGGAGACTTTTCTTACAGCATTTGAAAAATGTTTTCCTTATAGAAATGGAAAATGCACAAACCAATCTCGAAGAGAACTATCAGATGAGGAATAACCCTCTATTCATGGGAAATAACAACGGTGGTGAAGATGTTTCACATGTTGTTATCCTTTCTGATGTTGGTGAGTTTGAAATGATGCATATTACAAATAATTCTGTTTAATTAACACTCTTAATGTGAGTTAGTGGTAGCTTTTCCTAATTAAAATGAATTAATATTAATTATTTCAAAATTGCAAGTTATATTTTGAGGAAATTTTAGCTGCACATGCCATTGTAAGAAACAGTACAGAAAGATCTGTGTACAGTTCACCCAGTTGCTCCCAGTGATGAAATCACACAATATTATAGCATAATACCAGAACCAGGTTATTGACATTGTTGTAATCTACAAATTTTGTTGAGGTTTCTCCAGATTAATTGTAGTGATATATGTGTATGTGTTTAGTTCTGTTTGATTTTGTCACATGAGTAGGTTTGATGTCCACCAATACATTCAATATACAGAACATTTCCATCCCTATACAGATGTGTCACTCTGCCCTTTTATAACTATACCCACTTCAGGATAAGTGCCTGGATATGCATCTGACTTGTGGCATGCATCAGTAGTTCCTTTATTTTTATTGTTGAGAACTTTTCCGTGGTAGGGATGTACCACAGTGTGTGTATTTTTCTGTTTTGTTTTGTTTTTTTGTACAGATAGAGAGTGGGAGGGAGAGAGAGGAAGAGAGAGAGAGAGAGAAACATCGATGTGAAGGGACACATCGAGTGGCTGCCAACCGCACGACCAACCAGGGCCGGGGACAAACTGCAACCGAAGTACGTACCCCTAGCGGGAACCGAACCCGGGTCTCTCCGGACCGCAGGCCGACGCTCTAACCGCTGAGCCAAACCGGCCAAGGCTGTATTGTTCACTGTTGAAGAACATGTGAATTTTTTCTAGTGTTCATTATACAAGTAAAATTGCAATGAAGGTTCATGTACAGGTTTTTGAGTAAATATAAGTTTTGATTTCTCTTAGATAATTTTTTTTCTCTTAGAAAACTGGCAAGAGTTTTCCAGGGAAGCTGTCCCTTTTTGCTTTGCTGTCAGCAATATATGAGTGAGCGAGTTTGTAGACCTCCATGTCCTGCTGCTTTTCTTGTTCTTTCTTCCTCTTCGATGCTCCAAGGTTTTTCTCTTTTATCATTCTTTTCTGATAGGAGATATTCCTGTAGCCATTATCAAGTGTAAACTGTCTAGATGAGATATACTTTTAGCTTTTCTTCATGGTAGAATGTCTTTATTTCACCTGTATTTTTTTTTTAAGGGTATGGACGTTCATTTATTTTTTCAGCGGTATTGAGGTGTAAGTGACAGTTAAACTGTTATATATTTAAAGTGGACAAAGTGATGATTTCATATACATATGCATTGTAAAAGGAATCTCACCATTGAGTTAATTAACACTTCAATCAATGCCCTTGTTTACCTTTTTATGTTTTGTGGTGAGAACGCTGAAGTTGTACTACAATGAAATTTCAATTATATAATGCTGAATTATCAACTATACTCACTATGTTGTACATCCTCAGACCTTAGTTCATTTTTTAAGTGATAATTTGTACACTTTTAGCAACCCTTCCCTGTTTGTTTATTTATCTATTTATTTATTTATTCATTTATTTATTTATTTTTTATCCTCGCCCGAGGACATTTTTTCCATTTTTTGCTTAGATAGAGTGAGGAGAGGAGAGAAAGAGAGAAAGAAACATCGACGTGAAAGGGACACATCGAATGGTTGCCACCCGCACGACCACCCAGGGCTGGGGACAAACTGCAACCGAGGTATGTGCCCTTAGCGGGAAACGAACCCGGGCCTCTCTGGACCGCAGGCGGACGCTTTAACCGCTGAGCCAAACTGGCCAGGGCAACAACCCTTCCCTGTTTATCTCACTTCACAGTTCCTGGCAGCCACCATCTACACCTTTTGAGTTTGACTTTTTCAATATTTAGATTCCATATATATGATCACATACAGTATTTGTCTTTCTCTGTTTGGCTTATTTCACTTAGCATAATACCATTCAGGATCATCCTGGATGTCACAGATCGGCTTGGCCTTTGAAGGACAGTTTTGTGCACTATGGAATTCCTGGTTGAGATTTCTTGCCTTTCCATACTTGAAAATACATTATTTATAGAAATGTTGGTAGAAGCTCAAAAAAGCTTGGCAAAGAGCCCTGAGACAACAAATGATCCACTATTCTTTGAAAACACCAGTAGCCAAAATAGTTCCTAAATATGTTTCTATGTTTGTACCAGTTTTAGTGGGTTTCAAATAATATTTATGACAGGTAGCATATTTAAAATAGATTTTTCAACATCTTTAGTGAAAAGGTAGTGGTAGCTATTTCAAATGAAGGTTTTTATTTTTACTATACTTAGCAGCACTTATAGTTGTAATAAATGATACAGAACAATTCTGTTTTCCCATTCCCCAAATTTCCACAATTGTACGAACTTGGAAAATGGTAGAAAATTATCAGCACTGAGATAAATGACATGACACCATCCAGGTATTATTGAGATGTCGCTAGTTTCACATTTGTTAATGTGTGTGTTTAGTTTTATACAATTTTATCACATGTTCTCTACCATAGGCAGTCCCCCATACAGTTGCATCATCTCCATGACTCCTCATACTGCTCTTCTATAAGCACACCTGACTGCATCCAGGTGACACTCCCCACACCCCTCCGAAGGCCTGTCTGGTCTCTAGCTGTTTGTAACAGCAGCTCTGCTCTCCAGATCTGTAATTTGTCTCCTCAGCATTGTCATACAAATGGAATTCTATGGCAGTTTGGCCTTTTTCCCTCAGTCTAATTCCCTGGAGACTCACTCATGTTTTCTTTTTTCTTTATTGATCTTAGAGAGAGAGGAAGAGAGAGGGAGAGAGAGATAGAAACATCGATGAGAGAAAACATCAATTGGCTGCCTCCTACATGTCTCCCACTGGGGATTTGGCCCACAACCTGGGCATGTGACCTGACTGGGAATCTTGGTGCATGGGTAAACCCTGAACCACTGAGCCACATGGGCTAGGTACTCATATTTTCTGTATATCACCCATTCCTTCTTTTTATTGCAGAGTAGTATTTCATGGTACGGATGTTCCATGCTATATTTATCCGTTCACTTCTTCAAAACCTCTCCATTTCTTGTTTTGGGCTCTTAGGGGTAAAGCTGCTACAAATACTCATTCATAGTTTCTAATCTTGCTTCATTTCATTCATTTCATTCTTTCACACAGGTTTTATTGCTTTGGGATGAATGCCAAAGCAGTTGATTTCTGGTCCTTTGGTGTTTGCATCTTTAGTGTTTTTTTTTTTTTCCCCCTTTTTATTGATTTAAGAGAGATAGAGAAATAGACAGGTTGCCTCCTGCATACCTCCTGACTAGGGATTGAAACCTTTACTTTGATCATATGCTCTGACTGAAATTGAACCGCCACCCTTTCTTGAATGGGATGACAGTGCAAACTACCTAGCCACATCAGCTATGGTGCTTCATTAGTGTGTGTTTTTTTTTTTTAGTTTTTTTTTTATCCTCACCCGAGGACATTTTTTTGTTTTGTTTTTTGTTCAGAGTGGGAGGGAGAGAGAGAAAGAGAGAGAGAAACATCAATGTGAAAGGGACACACTGAGTGGTTGCCACCCGCAGGACCCAACCAGGGCCGGGGACAAACTGCAACTGAGGTACATGCCCTTAGCAGGTACCGAACTTGGGGCTCTCTGGACAGCAGGCCGACGCTCTAACCGCTGAGCCAAACTGGCCAGGGCACTTTATTAGTTTTTGATCAGGAACTGACAAGCTGTTTTCTAGTGTGGCAGTACTACTTTCCATTACTACCAGTAATGTAAGAATTGACCAGTTTCTCTGCATCCATACTGCTGCTCTTTCTTTGTTCTTTGGCCCTCTTGATGCTCTAGGATTTTTTCCTGTTATATCTTGAACATTTTCTCTTAGCCATTTTCCAGCATGAATCAGTGGCAAATAATTTTAGTTTCCTTTTATCTGTAAATATCTTTATTCTGGCTTCACTTCTGTAGGTAGTGTCATTATTTAGTGAATATGAGGTTGGGAGTCTTTCCTTACAGCATTTGAAAAATGTTTTCCTTATAGAAATGGAAAATGCACAAATGACCCATGAAGAGAACTCTCAACAGAGGAATAACCCACCATGCTTGGGAAACAACAGTGGTGGTCAAGATGTTTCACATGTCCTCATCCTTTCTGATGATAGTGAGTTTGAAATGATAACATATTACAAATAGTACTGTTTAATGTAGATTCATTAACACCCTTAATGTGAGTTAGTGGTAGTTTTTTCTTATTAAAATTAATTATTTAAAAATTAAAAGCTTTATTTTGAGGAAATTTTAGCTGCACATGCATTGTAAGAAACAATACAGAGAGATCTTGTCTACAGTTTAACTGGTTGCCCCCAGTGATAACAGCATGCAATATTATAGCACATTATGACAACCAAGATATTGACATTTATACAATTCACAAATTTTATTGAGATTTCCAGAATTTTGTTGTTGTGATTTGTGTGTATATATTTAGTTTTGTTTGGTTTTGTCACATGAGTAAGTTTGATGTCCACCAACACTAATATTCAGAATATTTCCATTTCCATAAGGATGTGTGACTCTGCCCTTTTCCACCTACACCCACCTCAGCATAAGTGCCTAGATATGCATCTGACTTGTGGCATGCATCAATTGTTCCTTTCTTTATATTGTTGAGGACTATTCCATGGTGGGGATGTACCACCATTTGTCTGTTGTTTCACTGTTGAAGAACATGTGGATTTTTTCCCAGTGTTCATTATTACAAGTAAAATTGCGATGACAATTCATGTACAGGTTTTTGTGTAAACATAAATTTTGATTTCTCTTAGAGAAATGTTTTCTTTTGTATCATATGATCTCACTTATTTGTGGAATATAATGAACGTAACAGTCTGAGGAATGGGGTAGTCCCAGAGACGTGGAAGTGGGGTACAGACTGACAATCCCCAGAAGAGGGGGTGGTGGGGGAGAGATAAACCACAGAACTTATTTGCATGTATGCGTGAACAATGGACATGGACAACAAAGCTGGGAACAGGGCGGGGAGGGAGAGGGAAGGGGGCAATCAGTGGGGGGAAAAGGAGAAACATCTGTAACAAAAATAAATAAATTAATTAAATATAAAAAGAAAACTGGCAACAGTTTTCCAGAGAGGCTGTCCCTTTTTACTCTGCTGCCAATGATGTATGAATTAGTCAGTTTGTCAACCTCCATGTCCTGCTGCTTTTCTTGCTCTTTTTCCTCTTTGATTATCTAAGATCTTTTCTTTTCTTCATTCTTTTCTGATAGGAGATATTCCTCTAGACATTCTCAAGTGTAAACTGCCTAAAGGAGATATACTTTTAGCTTTCCTTTGTGGAAGAATGTCTTTATTTCACCTTTATTCTTTTTTTAAGAGTATGAATGCTCATTTATTTTTTCAGATGTATTGAGGTATAATTGACAAATAAATCTGTTATACGTTTGAAGTGGACAAAGTTATTATTTCATATACATTGTGAAAGGATTCTTACCATCAAGTTAACATATCCATCATGGCCCCTGTTTACAATTTTTATGTTCTGTGGTGAAAATGCTAAAGTACTATAATCAAATTTCAATTATACAATGATGCATTATCAACTATAGTCACCAGGTTATACACCCTCAGATCTTAGTTCATGTCTTAACTGATAGTTTGTACATTTTTACCAGTCCCTCCTTATTTTTCTCACTTCACAGCCCCTGGTAGCCACTATTCTGCACTGTGTTTTTATGAGTTTGACTTTTTAAATATTTAGAATCCACATATGTGATGGCATACAGTATTTGTCTTTCTGTCTGGTTTATTTCACTTAGCATAATGCTCTTTGGGATCATCCCGGATGTTACAAATTTGCTTGGTCTTTGAAGGATAGCTTTTCTCGGTATGGAAGTTATGTTTGAGAATTCTTGCCTTTCCATACTTGAAAATATATTATTTCTAGAAATGTTGATAGAAGCTCAAGCCAGCTTGGCAGAGAGAGCCCTGTGACAACAAACGATTCACTATTCTTTGAAAACAACAGTAGCAAAAGTATTTCCTTAGTATGTTTCTTTGTTCTTCCCAGTTTTGGTGGATTTAAAATGATATTTATGATTGGTAGCATATTAAAATAGATTTGTCAACATCATTAGTGAAAAGATAGTGGTATATTTTTATAATAAAAGCTTTTCATTTCAGTATATTTAGTTGCACCTATAGTTGTAATAAATGATACAAAAATTTCTGTTTTCCCACTCCCCAAATTTTCTCAATTGTATGAATCTGCCAAATAGTAGATAATTAACAACACTGAGACAAATGACATGACGCCATCCAGGTATTGTTGAGATGTCCCTCTATCACATTTGTTAATGTGTATGTTTAGTTCTATACAGTTTTATCACATGTTCCCTACCACAGGCAAATGCCCAGTTTCATCACCCCCATGACACCTCATACTGCTCTTCCATAAGCACACCCACCTCCCTCCAGGTAACACTCCCCCACCCCTCCAAACCCCTCCCTTGTCTCTATCTGTTTGTAACAACAATTGTGCTCTCCAGAACTATAATTTGTCTCTTCAGCATTGTTATATAAATGGAATCCTGTTACAGTTTAGACTGGCTTTTTTCCCTCAGTCTAATTCCCTGGAGACTCACTCATGTTTTCTGTATATCATCATTCTTCTTTTTTATTGCAGAATAGTATTTCATGGTATAGATGTTCCATCGTTCAGATATCTGTTCATCTATTCAAAACCTCTTGATTTCCTGTTTTGTGCTCTTAGGGGTAAAACTGCTACAAATACTCGTTCGTAGTTTTTAACTTTATTCCATTCATTTCACTCTTTCACACAGTTTTTATCTCTTTGTGATGAATGCTGAAGCATGCATTTTGTGGACCTTTGTTGATTGTATCCATAATGTTTTGTTTTTGTTTTAATTTTTATTGATTTGAGTGCGGGAGGGGGAGGGGGGAGAAAGGGAGAGAGAGAGAGAGAGAGAGAGAGAGAGAGAGAGAGAGAGAGAGAAATGGATCGGTTACTTCCAACTGCAGATTGAAACTTTAACTAAGTCATATGCCCTGATTAGAATTGAACTCACCACCGTTTCTTGCACGGAATGACACTCCAACCAACCTAGCCATACCTGCCTTAGTGCTTCATTAGGTTTTTTTGTTTGTTTTGTTTTTGCTTTTTAATCAGAAACTGACTGTTTTCTAATATGGAGGCACCAATTTTTATTCCCACCAGCAATGTAAGAGTTGACCAGTTCCTCTGCATCCATACTTCTGCTTTTTCTTTAGTTCTTTAGCCTTCTTGAAGCTCTAGAATTTTTTCTATTATATCTTTTCTGTTTGAACATCTTCCTTTAGCCATTTTTCATCATGAATCAGTTAGTGACAAATACTTTTAGTTTCCCTTTTTTCTGTAAATATCTTTAGTTTGGCTTCACTACTGAAGGCAGTTTAATTGGGTATTGCATATGAGGTTGGGAGTCTTTTCTTACAGCATTTGAAAAATTTTTTTTATAGAAATGGAAAATGCACAAACCAACCATGAAGAGAATTCTCAGATGAGGAATAACCCTCCATTCTTGGGAAATAACAATGCTGTTCAAGATATTCCACATGTCCTTATCCTTTCTGATGTTGGTGAGTTTGAAATGATACATATTACAAATAATACTGTTTAATGTAGATTCATTAACACCCTTAATGTGAGTTAGTGGTAGCTTTTCTTAATTAAAATTAATTATTGAAAAATTAAATGTCTTAATTTGAGAAAATTTTAACTGCTCATGTCATTGTAAGAAACAATACAGAGAGATCTTGTGTACAGTTTACCTGGTTGCCCCTAATTATAACATCATGCAATATTATATGACAACACAATAACCAGGGTATAGATATTCATGCAATCCACAGATTTTATTGAGATTTCTACAGTTTAATTGTAGTAGTTTGGATGTATGTGTTCTGTTTGATTTTATCACATGAGTAGATTTGATGTCCACCAACACATTCAATACACAGAACATTTCCACATTTCCATCCCCATATGGATGTGTCACTTTGCCCTTTTACCCTCCTCAGAACAAGTGCCTGGATATGCATCTGACTTGTGGCATGCATCAGTAGTTCCTTTCTTTTTATTGTTGAGGACTACTCCATAGAAGGGATGTACTACTGCTTGTGTATTGTTTCACTGTTAAAGAACATGTGAATTCTTTCCAGTGTTCATTATACAAGTAAAATTGCAATGAAGGTTCATGTTCAGGTTTTTGTGTAAACATAAGTTTTGATTTCTCTTGGATAAAATTTTCTCCTAGAAAACTGGTGAGGGTTTTCCAGAGAGGCTGTCCCTTTTTACTTTGCTGCCAACAATGTATGAGTGAGTCAGTTTGTAGACCTCTGTGTCCTCCTGCTTTTCTTGTTTGTTCTTCCTCTTTGACAATCCAAGATTTTTTTCTTTTATCATCCTTTTCTGTTAGGAGATATTCCGCTAGCCACTCTCAAGTGTAAACTGCCTAAATGAGATATTCTGTTTGCTTTCTTTCATGGTAGAATGTCTATATTTTGCCTTTATTTTTTTAAGAGTGTGATGCTCATTATTTTTTCAGCTGTATTGAGGTATAAGTGACAATTAAATAGTTATATATTTAAAGTGGACAAAGTAATGATTTCATATACACATACATTGTAAAAGGAATCTCACCATCGAGTTAGCTAACACATCAGTCATTGCCCTTGTTTACCTTTTTACGTTTTGTGGTGAGAGCTCTGAAGTTATACTATAAGGAAATTTCAATTATACAATGCTGTATTATCAACTATAGTCACCATGTTTTACATCCTCAGGTCTTAGTTCAGGATTTATCTGGTAGTTCGTACACTTTTACCCATTTATCCCTATTTTTCTCACTTTGAAGCCCCTGGCAGCCATCATTCTACACTGTGTTTCTATGAGTTTGACTTTTTCAATATTTAGATTCCACATATGTGATACCATACAATATTTGTCTTTCTCTGTTTGGTTTATTTCACTTAGCATAATGCCCTTTGTGGTCATCCCAGATGTTACAAAGCTGCATGGTCTTTGAAGGATAGTTTTTCATGGTATGGGATTCATATTTGATATTTCTTGCCTTTCCATACTTGAAAATATATTATTCATAGAAATGTTGGTAGAAGCTCAAACCAGCTTGGCTAAGATCCCTGAGACAACAGTGATCCACTACTCTTTGAAAACAACAGTAACTAAAATATTTCCTAAATATATTTCTGTGTTCATCCCAGTTATGGTGAGTTTGAAATGATATTTATGACAGGTAGCATATTTAAAATAGATTTTTCAACATCCTTAGTGAAAAGGTAGTGGTATCTTTTTCTAGTTAATGTTTTTATTTTCACTATATTTAACTGCACCTATAGTTGTAGTAAATGATACAGAAAAATTCAGTTTTCCCACTCCCCAAATTTCCCCAATGGTATGAACTTGCAAAATGGTAGAAAATTATCAGCACTGAGATAAATGACATGACACTATCCAGGTAACATTGAGAAGTCCCTAGTTTCACATTTGTTAATGTGTGTGTTTAGTTCTATACAATTTTATCACATGTTCTCTACCACAGGCAAGTCCCCAAACATGTCTATCACCCTCATTACCCCTCATAGTGCTCTTCTATAAGTACATCCATCTCCTTCCAGGTGACACTCCCCTACCCCTGGAATCCCCTGTCTTGTCTCTGTTTATAACAATAACTCTGCTCTCCAGAAATATAATTTGTCTCTTCAGCATTGTTATATAAATAGAATCCTGTGGTGGTTTAGATTGGCTTTTTTCCCTCAGTCTAATTCCCTGGAGACTCACTCATGTTTTATGTATAACACTCATTCCTTCCTTTTTATTGCAGAGTAGTGTTTCATGGTATGGATGTTCCATCGTTCCTTTATCAGTTCACCTGTTCAAAACCTCTTGATTTCCTGTTTTGGGCTCTTAAAAGTAAAGCTGCTACAAATATCTGTTCATAATTTTTTTTATTAATTTATTTGAACATAATTGTTCATAGTTTTTAACCTTCCTTCATTTCATCCATTTCACTTTTTCACACAATTTTTATTTCTTCGGGATGAATGATGACACATGCAATTTCTGATCCTTTGTCAATTGAGTCCTTAGTGAGTTTTGTTTCCTTTTTATTGCTTTGAAGGGGGGGTAGAGACATAGAGAGA